ATTACAAATCTTCCACCGAACAGAATATATTAAAATTGTGCACAGATTTGAAACGAGATTATTTATTTACAAAAACATTATAATTTGTAATAAATTGATCCAATAAAAACCCGATGAGATACAGTTTGTAAATATTAATTAGTTACAAATAAATAAATAAAAAATATTCCCTATCCTATACCACGCGCCCAGGTTAGCTATATTTATAATTCCTTATTGACTTATAGCTGGTATATGAGGTCAGGTATTGCACTTATGATGCCGAAATTTGCAATGTCAACATTTTTTAAATGAATTTTTTCATTGGCTGAAACCAACACGTGATCAATACACATGAAGGTGTGAACTGATTTCATTTTCATTAAAATCATGCGTTTAATCGGACATATAACAATTCTAAATACAAATAATTTTATCAAACAATCCCAGAAGCATTTGAAATAATAAAAATCATTGCAAAGTAATAAATGCTTACAAATTGTAAATTTGTGTATGACAACTCACCCCTCTAAACGAATCATATTAGACTCAACCAAAACAAGCGTCTGTTTCTTGCAAGCATGCATTTGTCCATACAGCAATGGGGAAAATTTTAGACTTGATTTTGTGTAATTTTTTTTCCCAACAAAATCACACTTTTTTTAATTTTCTAATAAAACAGCTTTTATTATGTACAACATGTCACATGGCTCTAAGGGATTAGAATAAACGTTAAACAGAAGTGATAGTGCCATGTTTGAATATCATATTCTTTTTATCATTATCAAATTTTATCTTCAAAATAAATAACGTGCCAATGTGCCAGTCTAAAGTCGATCAACAGCAGATTTCGTACAGAAAAGTAAGAACCTGTTACATATATGTGTATATACTTATTTCTGGTAAAAGAAATGTACAGCTCTCAGAATAGGCTCACTAAGATTCAATTTAATCTACTGTATATTTGATGAAAATAACAGTGGATTGTGGAAAGAAATAATAAAGACAGATTTACAAAAAAGAGGTGGAATCGATTTATTTAAAAGTAATCTTAAGTAGGCCCAGAAGAAGAAGTTGGTAACTCTGCATAGTAACATGAAAGACCATAACATGCAGTTCAAAGTTTTAACATTAAATTCTTACTTTAAATGTTTAATCGGTATTTGTTTTCTTATATGATTTATGATCTATAAAGGTTAATATTAAGACAGTCGCACACTTGTGCACACTGGCACCCGTATATGGTAATTTCCAAATTTTAGTGTTCTAACACCTTTGCATAACTCCACTCAAAACACCTCGGGCGACTTCAAGAATTCCGAACTTGACGGAGATTGCTGAGTTGTAACAATGTGTACGATTGGCATAACTAGACTGGTACCCTGCGCACTTCTATGGAACAGAATTAATGTATTTATTCTATTTTGCTTGATGACATTGGAACTTGCATTATGCTTGATTCCATCTTGCTTTATGACATTGGAACTTGAATTATGCTTGATTCCATCTTGCTTTATGATATTTAAACTTGCATTATATGCTTGATTCCATCTTGCTTGATGACATTGGAACTTGCATTACGCTTGATTCCATCTTGCTTTATGATATCTTAACTTTGCCTGCAGCTGCATTCTATTTTTCATTATTTCTTTTCAAACTTTCGTAGTGCATTGAGTGATAACTATTAAACTTGCACAAGCCATTCATCGTACTGTTTTGGAACATTAAAATGTTAACGTCATATACCTTTATGTATAAGCTACCTTTCTTCATGCTCTTTACAAACTATATTCGGTTTAGTTCTTTTTTGTATTACTTTTATGTTTTTTTTTTGTTTGTTTGTTTTGGGTTTTACGTCACATCGACACAGTATAGGTCATATCACGACGTTCCAGCTTTACTGGTGGAGGAAGACCCCAGGTGCCCTTCCGTGCATTATTTCAGGCACGAACGGGCACCTGAGTAGAACCACCGACGTTCCGTAAGCTAGCTGGATAGCTTCCTCACATGAAAGAATCCAAAGTCCCTGTCGGGATTCGAACCTACAGCGGTGAGGGGCAAGTGATTTGAAGTCAACGACCTTAACCACTCGGGTATTACTTTTATGTAGAAGTGATTTAAAATCGACTATTCTTCTTCACACCGTACAATCAAATGGGCAGACAGCTGTTCCAGCGTCCACAGCTGTACCAGTATATACATGTCGGCGCGGGGAATACAATTGACGTACGATAAGTATTCATCTATTTTTAACATATCCAAACTGTCTTCGAGTTAATCAATGTTATGGATTCATAGTCAACATCCAAAGGAGCATGCTTACAAATTTCTGGCCCTGTGCAAGCTTTACTTCACATGAATTTGACTGAAAATAACCACACTATCCGATGAGATGCGGTATTTTTAGTTTGAAGTCACAAAAACTTAAATTCTCTCATGATAATTAATCCTTTTTTCATACGATTCGTAAACGTCAACATTTTGTCATTAAATATTCCAAACCATACCTTCCATAAAGCTTTTCTGTTAAAGTTATAAGGTATTTAAGTTTGAGTGTCATCAAAATTTTAGTAACGTCATCAGCTGTTCGCCTCTTTTTTATGATAACATCGACAGCAATTCATCGGCAAGGATGAATAACGCTGAAAGCTGTTCAAAGAAACAATTTTCAGAGCTTTTGTCCTACAGTAACTAGGAAAAAGTAAAACTTTTTTGTTCATTTAAAATATTACTTTATTCATGATACTTTCTAATTATATTATTTTTATTATTACTTTCTATCATTTGTTGTATCTTAGCTGAGAGGCCTATATCTCCATTTACCGCACTGTATTTCAATATTGATATTGTTTATATGAATGAATGAGTGAGTGAGTGAGTGAATGAATGAATGAATGAATGAATGAATGAATGAATGAATGAATGAATGAATAACGGAACGAATGAACAAACGACGGAATGATGCAATATACGTATATGTTAAAACAAATTGTCTGTAGAAAGTATATGAGTTGTAATATTCTAAAAATTACATATTATACATTCATTTTTTTCCTATACATGTCCTGTTGTTGTTGATGTTGTTGTTTTCTATTTCAGAAGGCCACATTGGAAATAAGATATATATGATTGTTATTGTATGTTATTAATGTATAACCTTCTTTAAATAAAGATATTTTTATTATAATTATTATTATAATATAAAACGGTAGCAATATGTTTCTGAAATGTTAAATTCAAAGAAAGTAAAGGCAAATTTAACGCTTAATACGAATACTCTGTATTATAACTAAATCCATCAAGTGTTATTATAAATAATGGCATATAGTAGACATGTCCCATGCAGTAAATAGATGTGTAACCCGAGATGTCTGCCATATAAATTGATTTATTTAAAAAATAAAAATTTGAATTATTTTTAAGAATGGTTATTATTTCTATTGCACTATACATTAAAACAGATTTCAAGGATAAATAACAACATGTTTTTCCATGCACTTTCATATCTCGGGTTACACAGCCATTCACTGCATAGGACTTGTCCATTATATGAATTATTTATAATAACACTTGATGGATGCCTTCATTTACAAGACTGAATATTCATATTAAGCGTTAAATTTGCCTTTGCCTTTTGACTTAAACATTTCATAAACCTATTACAGGAACTCCACTGAGGTTTATAAGCTGAAAAACATGAAATTTTATTTTTTCACATAAAAAAACATGAGCACTAAAACATAAATATTAATAAAATATAACCAAGAAATATAGAAGAAATACATTGAAAATCATATGTTTGTGCTATTCTCAGTCCGATTTGAGTGAAAAGCGTGTAAACTCTTTTCAAATTTGGGTCATTTTTTCACTATTATAATATTCTGGAAAAACGGAGCAAGCTAATCATCGGAAATTTTGCATATAAGTTATTAGTATAGATCTACATCAAATGGAGAAATAATCTCAAAAAATTATTTCCAGTCCCGTCATGTCAAAAAACCTTAGTGGAGTCCCTTTTATAGGTTTTGCTACCTTTTTATATTAAATTACAGTGCGGTAAATGGAGATCAAGGTCTCTAACCTAAGATATATCAAATAATAGAAAGTAATAATGAAAATAATATAATTAGAAAGTATCATGAATAAAGTAATATTTTAAATTAACAAAAAAGTTTTACTAGTTACTGTAGGACAAAAGCGCTGTTTTAAATACATGTAATTGTTTCTTTGAACAGCTTTCAGCGTTATTCGTTCTTGCCGATGAATTGCTGTCGATGTTATCATTAAAAAGAGGCGAACAGCTGATAACGTTACTAAAATTTTGATGACACACAAACTTAAATACCTTATAACTTTAACAGAAAAGCTTATTTGAAGTGTTTAATGACAAAATGTTGACGTTTACGAATCGTATGAAAAAAGGATTAATTATCATGAGAAAATATAAGTTTTTGTGACTTCAAACTAAAGGTAAATCTTTCATCTATGGCTGCATGTTAAAATATTGGTAACTTTCCATGCCTTTCCCTTAGAAAAACATGGCAGAACATACCCACTGAGCCAGTTTTTTGTCATATGAATAGTTTTGTAACAAAAAATGATGTAACATTTATTTAAATGGGAACAGTAAATATTTTTACCTGCAGCCATAGACAAATGCATAAGTTTTCAGAAAATGTATTATTTTACTGATTTTGATATCTGGTTAGTAAGTTTTACTTGCTACAAGTTTTAAGTTTAGCAGGCACGCGTGAAATTTTAACTGGCTAGGAAGAAGCCTATCTCTGTTATCTATGTCTCTGTTAGAATATGATTTTTAATAAAGTAAGAAAATGCATTTAAATACAATGTATGTCAAAACATATCCAGATAAAATAATATCCTTTTTTCAGATGTATTTATAACCATCATTGTTTTTTCATCATTTACTGTTTCAACTGCTTGTCATAACGAGGCTTTGAATCTTGGCTATCGGTTTCATCTTCATTGGCCTTGTATTGCTTTACGGTCGTGACTTGCTCTAATAAAAAGTAAATTTAATCTGCAGAAACTATTTTAAGGCTTTGTTCTAATCTGATAAATGTGAATGTATTAAAATGTTGATTTATATTTAAACAGGTGAACATTTGGTTGGACCATTTGACGAGTGTTTCTGCCAACAGAAAACGGGGCAAGGCGAAAGCGTCCGTGACACGGTCTTTGAAAAAGGTATTCAGGCACGATGACATTATGAGTTGAATTTCATAAATGATTGCCTCAACATTAAATGAGTCTGAGGCCAAAAAAAACTCTTTTTTCTCAAAGCCATACAAAACATAAGGGGTGTTGCACTTCTGTGGTCTAAATATGTGTATTTTATCATTGACATGGTGGGGAATCATTGATATGGTGACCTGTGAACTTAAAGTCCCATTATGCATTTGTAAACTTTATTTGAAATAAAAGAGTATTCAGTTTCACACCAATGACATGAAGTAGAATTCTGATGTAAAAATTTGCATTTGATTTCTTAAAGACATGAAAGAAAATCTTCGAAATACGCTATAAATATATTGCGCTCATGTAGCGCAAATGTAATAATTGGAGGTATGTTTGGATGAAAAAATAATTTCTGAAGAATAGTAATGCGGAAATGAGCCATTTTCTTCAATAAGAGGATAAGTATGATATGTTTATTCAGTAATTGAAATTTTACTCACAAAAGCATTATGTTTCTTTAAACTTAAAATTGGTGGATTCTCCTGAAAAAGCACAATATTGTTTATAATGTCACTGGGGGCTACTGCAAGTCCTGTTAGTTACGCATACTCCAAAATATTTTCTGTTAAACAAAGATATTGACAAAAATTCTCACATGGACACCAGAATCTTAAAGATTATCAATTGCTGCAATACCATGTCATGTAGTCTCCATATCACATGATTCCCCACCATAATTGCAAGATTAGTTTGATAGACTTAGTGCCAGCAGAATTGTTAGAAAATAATGTGTTTTCAAAAAAACGAAAAACAAAATTCAGTACCATTTTTGTTCCAATAGAATTAAAAACAACCTACTGTTTTATCTATCAAAGATATATATTTGAAATCTTTGTTAAGTTGTGCTACTAAATTATTAATTTTTAAACAATCCAGGTTCAAGCTTCTATCCAGGCCCAAGCTCCTATCAAGGTTCAAGCTCCTATATATCCCGACTCAAGCTCCCATCCAGGCTCCTGCTCCTATCCAGGCTCTTGAGGAAAGTGCACCAGATTGTGAGTACACCATGCAACTTAGCGTAAGAAAATTATGTCAGTTTTTTTGTAGCTTTGTGTTCATTGTGAGCTATAATTGTCGTTTCTCCATGAAACTTGGTCAAAATGTTTGGCTGAAATCTCGGCAAAGTTCAAGGTTGGGTCATGTGGGGTCACTAGGTCAAATCTTAGAAAAAGAATGCAAACACTTTAGAGGCCACATTTTTTGCCCATTTGTCATTAACCTTAGTGTAATTGTTCAACTCTATGAAATCTAGAACATGTTCAAAATTAGGTCATGAGGGGTCAAAAATTAAGTCATTAGGTCAAATCTTAGAACATTTTTGGTCCAATTTAAATGAAACTTAATAAATTTGAAACCTTAAAGATTATAAAAATGCCCTCTATTTCAGAAAAAACAATGTGGAAGTGTCCAGGTTTGGCCGCAGGAGGAGGAAGAATGTCCTTTTTAATGACTTTTTGTGTTAAATGTTAAAATAAAATAAGAAGTTAAAGTGTTGTAAGTTTTTAGCTCATCTGAGCTGTGAGCACGAAGCTATTGTAATCGGTGAATGTCTGTCTTCGCAAATCTGGTGTCCTCAACTTTTAGTGTTTTAACACTCTAAGAGGCCACAGATATGGTTCAATTATAATTAAGCTTAGTCAGCATGCTTACCATCCCTACAGAAACTGGGTCATGTGGAGTCAGAAACTATGTTAGTAGGTTTATTTTGTAGCTAAACTATAAATGTAAAATATTAAAGAGCTTATACGATCGATTGTGTGTCCGTGTCCGCAATGGTTTTTTAAGTCATACATTCTATTCTATGAAAGATATTCAATTAAAACTAAGTACGGTATTTAGTGGGACTACCACTACCATACTAAGAAGGCCTTTAACCTGGATGCATTATTTTCAGAATTATGCCCCTTTATTACTTGAAAATACCCATTTTATCTTCAAAGTCTAATTATTTGAATACTATCAAAGTTATTAAACTACAATTGATACATATATACTCATTGGGAGTGACTATACCTACCTTACTTCAGAGGCCCATTAATCTGGACTCATTATTTTCCTAATCATAAGCCTTTGTACTTATATTCTTCATTGTTTTTCTGATAACAGTTTTATTTATTGATTGATCTCTTAGATATTTACCCTCTCCCCTACCCCCGGGGCATTTGATGCACCAAGCAGGCTCAAGGGTGGGGATTTAGACAAAATTGGTTGTCTCTAGGGTGGGGATTTAGACTTCAAACATTTTAAGATGTCAAATTCCCCTGGGTCAGCCCGCCGCCCCCGGGCGGGCAAAATATTGATAGGTGCATTATGCTTACTGTCAACTGCTTAGTGCGTACTGTAACATGCGACTATAATATCGCTATCGTTGTCATCTTCGTTGTCGATGCGCAGTGATCATGTATTGCATTATATTTGTAATCAGTGAATATATTGAAACATTTGAATGCTAAGACAGATCGAATTCGCCAAGTATTGCTCAAAATCAATTATTAATTGTGAAATAGTGTCGACAATGTAAGTGGCAGATTTATAACAAATTAAAGGTACCGTCAGGAACTTGCCATTTTACATCTAGTTATATCAAGAACAAGCAAAGAATGTTCTTTTAAACACCGAACATAATACGCTGTTCTAAATAAAAGATGAAAATAAACATAAAGCATATTAAAATATGTGAGTTTGATGGTTCAGAAAGGAACACATGAAGTTGCAATTACATAATAGTGCATAAAGTCATCATAATGCAAGATTGTATTCGGCAAAACGTAGGTTCCCATCGTCATAAAGAAGTATGGAAGCAAGCATAATGAAAGTCACAATATCATCAAGCAAGATGGAATAAATGCACTAATTCTGTTCCATACACTTCTAAAAAGTATATGGGAACCATAATAGGACAGGGAACCAGATTACGCTTTGCTACCAATCGCAACTACTCGGCCCTTTCCGTCAGTCTTAGGAGTAATTACAGATAATAGCCGAGGCAGTTCCAAATGATATGTCAAAAAACATGTGGCGCGATTTGAAACATCTCAAATCATGTAAGTATTTATTTTACCATAATTAAAAATAAAAAAGATGGTCTGATATCACATAGCGATCAGAAAACCCATTACACGCCATGATCCTGAAGGTCATACTTACTGTATAGTTCATATGGATGGAATTGGCTTAACATTGAATTATATACAAATTTCTCGTGCACAACCTGGCGACTGAAAGCACAGACACTTGGGGTTATGTGCATGGGGTTATGTGCATGGCTCCCACTTGTTTACACCACCACTTGTTTACACCATGCCTATTTTTATCATGCAAACCGTACATCAAAATATTTTTGTATATTATTACGACCTGGTCACATGTCTTGAACATAAAACTTGTTTTCCGCTATATTAACAACATTTAAAAAAGTCCCTAAAATATAATAATTTCATAAAGATAACTAGTACGCTTTCCTTTGATGTGAGACGACTGGAATGAGTTTCGGCACTGTTTTGCGCTTTCATTTTCATGCCGAGAACCAAAATCCCCGCAGCAGTTAAGTATTCCCCTAATCAGTACAGAAACGGTAACCAAATTAAGAAGACTGACGGAAAGGGCCAAGTAGTTGCGATTGAATTTCTTTTTCCCAGCGATTTTCCCGCTGTAATTCACGGGAAACATTCCAGTTGTCATGAATTCGTAAAGAAGCATTTGACAGGATTAGGAAAATGTAATTAAATGTGCATTTTAGCTTGGAAGAATTTAGGTACGATCTGATAATAACATGTATTTATTTATTAAAGGAATATATGCATCGACTGATTTACACCAGAAATAAATGGCATGCGATAACATGAATACTTGAAATATATGTAGGTCAGTTGTGTTTACATTTCTTCAGGAAATTGAAGCGTTGGTAAAAAATTGACTTTTTTAATGAAATTCTATTCAAACTTGTTCACGTGTTAGACACTTAACCGTCTCATACTAATATAAGCACAAATTTAAAACCAATTCTTGTAATAAACAATACTTTTAGGTTTTAATATTCAGGGGCGGAGAAGGGCGGGGTCCAATTACTCCAAGTGTCTGTGACTGAAAGCATGGATAAAAATGTGACTTTTAAAAAATGTAATGAAATTCTGTTTAAAATTGTGTAGTTGTTAGACACTAGAACATATCATTCAAATGAAAATTAAAACTTGTATTGGCAAAAGAGTGGTTTTAGGGATTTCGAGTCATTTCGGCCCAATGGCGTATCGGCCCCAAATTACCCCAAGACATTTCGACCTTTGACCAAATCGGCCACATTCAGAATAAGTATATCGTTGTCTCATCGTACATCACATTTATGATTTGATTTTTTTTGTTTAGTGTTTTTTTCTTTATATAACTACTACCCTAAAACAGTACTGTTCCCCAATAGAAAATAGACATTAAAATTCCCAATTTCCAATTTTAAAATCCCCAAAATGGCTGTTCAAAATTCCCACATCTCTGAAATCATTTATGATAATTCAGATCTTTTCAATCACTTCTTTATGATACAGTGTTTCCCATTTGGTAAATATAACCATTTTCCTAAATAAGCTTTTTTATCAGTTCAAACTCTGACTCCCCGTTCACTCCTTTCTATGTTTATTCATCATATTTACATTTACTAAATATATATAAATACAACAAAAATGGCATGATTTGGGACTTTTGTTTTGAAAATCCTAGTGAGATTCCTGTTTATTCTTGTTTATTTCAATGGGTCAGCATCTTGTTTTGTTTCTACATTGATGTTCACACTAATTTAAAGAGAGACAATCAGTTTTGAACTGTGAAGAGTGACTGTGAGGATAAACAGTTGATATATATATTGTTTATAAAATGATTTTTTTTCTTTGTGTTTTCTTAATTTCATGATAATAATGTGATAAATCGTTAGATTTATCTGACATCTTTTTTGCTTATGAAGACACTTAAATATAGTAGATTTTGTAGCAAACATAAAAATAGCAAAAAATTTCGAACGTGGGACGGGGGTCCTACCCCATCCCCATTTCTGCAAAAACTTTCCCCTGTGCCTGGAAGAATTCCTGGGGAAAGGACTGGGTAGAAATACAGTGCAAAAAAAACGTAACTCTGCCTTTTTAGCTCACCTGAGCACGTGCTCATGGTGAGCTGTTGGAATCCCCCACCGTCCGTCATCAGTCGTCGTGCGTTGTCAACAATTTCTTTAAACAACATCTTCTCAGAAACCAATGACTACAGTGTCACTACACAGCAACCAAACTTTACAGGAATGATCCTTGGGTGGTCCCCTAGAAAAGTTCTTCTTGTTTAAAGGTACAAGGCTTAGAGCTTAGATAATTGGTATATAATATTATCTTTAGGTCCTCTACCAAGATTGAAGGGAATGAATTGAAACTTCACACACTTGTAATCTCTGTAATAATTTTATATGATTGGCACAAGTACCATAACTCTTGATTTGTTTATTTCATAATTATGCCCCTTTTTCGGCTAAGAAACTATTGGTAAAGGTTTTGCTTGTAAGCTTGTATCTCCATAACTACTGAAGGGTTTGTGCCTGTTTTGGGAAAATTTTATGCATTCATATTTATAAAGCAGTGATTTACTTGATAAAACATCTTAATAACAAGCCTTTGTACCTTTTCGGACAATTTTATGGATTCATATAGGGAAGCATTATTATACTCAATGAAACACACTTGTGACAACTTTCGAATAGTCAAGCGTTACTGTCCTCTGACAGTTCTTGTTATATAATATCTTAGTATTAATTACACAAAATTTTGGCAATTTCAATCTGCCAATCTTACAAGAGAAAGGATTACGATCATTGTATCCCTTTATTAATATACTTAATTGTATTGGCAATGTCCACTGTATCCCCCAATGACGTCATTCAAGGGCGACAACTTGAATCGGGTCTTAAATGTAAGGGTCTAATTAAAGGTCAGCTTTTTGGTCCGTTCGTTGCAGGTCGGTTGGTAGGTCTCCTTCATGGTTTCCGGACAATGACTAATTTGGAATGAGGTATTTTAATTTAACTTGGTATATAGCAACCTTATATGAAAACCCTGGTTGGTATTGCTGTTGGACCATCCTGAGATCAAGTTAACTGTTACTAAAAATAAAAATAACGGTTTTTGGACAATAACTAGAGTTTGGAATGAGGTTTTGTAATCAAACTTGATATTAAGCCACATTATATGAGGACCAGGTTTGAATAGCTTTTTGGTCAACTGGGGTCAAGGCCACTGTTACTTAAAATAGAAAAATGTTTTCTGGACTATGACTTCAAGAATTTGGAATAAGATATTGTAATAAAACTTGGTATATAGCAAGATGATAAGGAGACCCTGTTGGTATTTCTTTTGGACCCCTTGGGTTGGGTCAAGGTCAGTGTAACTAAAAAAAATAAAATGGTTTTCAGACAATAACTTGAGTTTTGTATGAGGTATTTGACAAATTTGGTGTTATATGCTTATAAGCTTATATGAAGTCCTAGGTTATGATTGCTTTTGGACCCCCTTGGATCAAGGTCAAGGTTACTGTAAAAAGAGAAAAATTGTTTCCAGACCATTACTAGAATTTGACTAGAAACTTGGCAGGATTGATCCTTGGGTGAAGGTCTTCCAAAGTTGTTTAAGGAATTTCATTCCATGCAGAAATCTGGTTGCCATGGCAACCAAAAGGAATTATAAGAATAAATTTAAAAAAAATTCTTGTAAAGACCCAAAAGTCCTAGAGCTAAGATATTTTGCATAAGGCATTGTCTGGTAGACCTCTACCAAGATTGTTCAAATTATAGCCTGCGTTCAAAATTGGCTCCGCCCCGCCCCGGGGGTTATTGATTTTCACTATATTTACATATAGGAAAAACTTAAAATACCTTCTTGTAAAGACTCAAAAGGCTTAGAGTTTAGATATTTTGCATAAGGCATTGTCTGGTAGACCTCTACCAAGATTGTCCTGGGGTCACACTCATGGGCCCTCGATCAACCAAATCTGCGGCTACCCAGATTGTTTAAATTATAGCCCTGGGGTCAAAATCGGCCCCACCCGGAGGTCATTGGTTTTCCTTTTATAGTAAAAACTTATAGTAAAAACTTTAAAAAAAAAGTCTTCTAGAAATTGACAAATGCTTGAGGTTAGATATTTGGCATGAAACATTGTGTAGTGAACCCCTAGCAAGATTGTTCAAATTATAGCCCTGGGGTCCAAATTGCCCCCGCCCCGGGGTCATTAATTTTCAATATATACATATAGTAAAAAAACAAAAAATCTTATTGTCTGTAGGTTAACAAGGCTTAGAGCTTTAATATTTGTTAATGATATCATCTATAGGTACTCTACCAAAGATGTTCAAATTTTGCCTCTAGTTGTCAATATATGCCCTGCCTTAAGGGCCATAGGTTTTCTTTATATTATGTATATAGTAATAACTTAAAAACTCATCTTCTCTATACAGTGTAACTTCCGAATTCCGGAACTTCTGAAATCCGGAAACTTCTAAAAACCGAACAATTTTTTCGGTCCCGATTTTTCCCCTTCTATTTTCTATTAATATAATACTTCTGAATTCCGGAACTTCTAAATTCTGAATTCCTGACGATATTTTCGTATAATTAGAGTCAAATCAATGCAATTTTACCTCCAAAAACCGGAAATATCCAAAGGTGTGAAATACATTGTAAACCCTGCAGGAAGATTTAATCTCCTTATCGATTGTTTACTAATTAGCGGTGATTGTGTAATTTG